CAGAAAGAAACCAAATGGAAGAAATGCACAAGACCAGGTACTGGGGAAGAAGCACAGAGCTTCCAAGCCCTCTAGGTACACCACCCTACCAGGATATCAATGTGTTTACCCACCCTGGTTATTCAACCATTTTTATAAACTATCTGGTGCCCACATGCTTCCCCCAGAGGATGGGGGCATGGGACTAAGAATCCCCATCCTATAATCACTGTGTTTAGTCTTTCTAGTGACCAGTCCCCATCCTGAGGCTATCTAGGGTTCTCACCTTAACTTACATCATTAACACAGGCTCAGGTATATTCTAAACAGAACTGTTATGGATAACAAAATATACTCCCATACTCAGAAATAGTTAAGGACTTCTGTGCCAGGAACCAGGGACAAAGACCAAATACATATTTTCATAATACCACAGATTTTTATCACATTCCTTACTAAAATAAATTTCAAATGAATCAAGGATTAAAATGAAAATGAAAATCTTAAAAATACAAAAGAAAACATGGAAGAATTTTAAGAATACTTTTTAAGAGCATAAGGCCTGTTTTACACAGTAGAGCACAAAATCCAATGCTCATAAAAGGAAAAAAAAAAAATACATGTGACTACAGGAAAAGAATTTTTTAAATTTTTAATTGGAAAAAAGATACATACAAACTACTGTACAAATAGTATTGAGACAAGTTAAGTGCAACACAGAAAACATAAACAGCTCCTACAAATCCACAAGAAACCAAACAGGAAAGCAGACAAAAGACATGAATAGACAGTTCACAGAAACAGGTCAGATCTAAGACATGGGCTCACCTTCACTCTCAATAAACGAAACTTTAAGATACCATTTTTCACCTATAAGACTGGCAAACATAGAAAGAAAATGTTAAACATGTTGATGTATATTCTTCTGGTTCTTTATTGATATATATACATATATATACACATACACTTGGAAGACTTAAAAACAAGACACTGGACACACTTTGTATATTTCATATTTTCATGTATATACTTCTGCATCTCCCTTTTGTGGCTACATAAATTTGTGAAGCTTTGCGAAAATAAAAATATTCTGAAATTTTTAATATAGTTAGTATTTTAATGCATATCCTTGTTTTGGTATAGATACATGGGGAGTGGTTACAAAAATGAGAACGTAAAATTTACACCATTTAGTATGTTTTTGCCTCTTATCAAGAACACCTCTTTATGTCATTAAATATGCCTTCATCACCTTTGCACAGACTTTTCAACATCTTTCTGATTGCCCTATCCTTAGTTTTCTCTTAGTTCATCCTCCATTCCACCTCCAGAGTCATCTTCATCACTAGTTAGGTTCCCACTGCTGGCCCAGATGTCTTAACCAGGACGTGACAGCCAGGAAATACTACTTCTCCAGATTTGTCTCTTGCAACCTTCTTCTCTCCATCCTAAGTATACACCTTTCAATGGGCATGCCAGTTCCTTTCACTGTTACTCTGTCTGGAATCACTCTCCTAAGCCCTCTTCTTGCAAAAATTATCTATCTTTCAAAATCCCATCAGCCTCATCTCCTCCAAGAAAACTTCCTTGGTGCTCAAAGCTAATACCTCTGTGCTCACTCTACTTCATTTCTCTTAACTATAACATCTTACAATTTATGGTCATTCACCTGTTTACAAGTTTATCTCCTTGTAGGCCATGCCTGTTGAGGATTAGGGGTTTTATTTATTTCTATACACACTGGATGGGAATGGGGATAAGAATGAGGAGTGAAGTGGTCCTTGAAGAGTGTTCCAAGCACTGAAAAATTCAGAATGACCAGGGAATGCAGTGAGTAAGAGAAAAAGAGAAAAGGGTTTTAACCCAGAGGGGTAGGCACAAGATGTTGCTGAATCTGGAAGCAAATTAAGACGTTTATATTTCAGTCTAAGGTTTTGAGGATAACAGGGATTATAAGCAGAGCTGTGGCTCATAGATTTATTTTTGATAGATTGCTCCAGTAGCAACATGGGGAAGAAAGGCAGAACGATTACTTAGGGCACTACAGTATTTATACAGGTAAGAAATCATCATGGCCTAAACCTGAATGGTGTAAGTGGGGATGGAGAAAAATGGATATATCTAGAAAGTGAAAGTGTTCAGGGAGTAAGTGGATGTGGGGGGCTGGGGCAAAGGGAGGAGTCAAGGGTGAAATTTAGGTTTTTGACCCTCTACTCATACAACATAGCATGACCTTGTTGGTCATTTAACCTTTTGGGGTTGATTTAATCATCTATGAAACTGGCTTAATTATACCTGACCTATTAAATGGCAAAGGATTCATATTAGTGAATGAAACACTACATGTGAAGTCCCGTAAGAATTATATAGCTTAAAAAAAAAAAAAGAATTATATAGCATAATTGTACTGTATGAATGCAAAAAGTGGCAATTCACACCTTCCATGTCAGGCACAACATAAAGCATGTTACTTACAAATGCAATCTCATTTAATTTTTTCTAAGATGTCACTTACCCCTACTTTATAGATTAGGAAATAGAGTAAAAAAAAAATTTAAATAACTTGTCCAAGGTCACCTAATGGTACATATTGTCAAACTAGAATTTTTTTTTTTTTTTGCCAAACGAGAATTCAAACTCAAATTGTCTCTAGGATTCTATTACCACCACCTTGCCTCATTAGAGTTCATTCCTCAAAATTTTATTCTTTATTGAAATCCCTCCCGAATCAAATGGCTAAATATCTGCAGTTGCCACAACCGCTTCAATTATGATTGAAATGGAGCTGCTCCCACAACATGACCCTTTGTGTGAAATTCTCCCAAGACATTCTAGACATACATTAGCATACAGGCTACGCTCCCTTGCTACATTCTTTTGCATGATATAATGAAAACAATTAATTTGTTTCAAAGTGTGGCAGTGGAGACGAGTAGAATGCTATATGCAAACACACGGCCTCTACAGGAATCATGTGGATCTGTTTTGCTGAGACTGTCTGGTGTCATGTTAGTGGAGATGCCTAATAAAAATTCCATTCAGGGGCACCTGGGTGGCTCAGTCATTAAGAGTCTGCCTTTTGCTCAGGTCATGATCCCAGGGTTCTGAGATCGAACCCCATTATCGGGCTCCTGGCTCAGCAGGAAGCCTGCTTCTCCCTCTACCACTCCCTCTGGTTGTGTTCCCTCTCTCACTGTGTCTCTCTCTGTCAAATGATAAATAAGATCTTTAAAAATAAATAAAAAATAAAATTCCATTCATTGTGGATTTCTTGCATCAATTCTGATTTTTTTTTTAAATATTGTATTAAAATATTATTGGTCTTAGGCGCCTGGGTGGCTCAGTGGGTTAAGCCTCTGCCTTCTACTCAGATCATGATCTCAGGATCCTGGGATGGAGCCCCACATCGGGCTCTCTGCTCCGCGGGGAGCCTACTTCCTCCTCTCTCTGCCTGCCTCTCTGCCTACTTGTCATCTCTGTCAAATAAATAAATAAAATCTTTAAAAAAAAATGGTCTCAATTACTAAGTTTTTGGTGCCCCTTTAAATTTTGTACCTCAGGAGATCCACCCCCCCCTTTCCCTACCTGCAAGCACATGCCTGAAAACCGCACAACCTTCATCTCCGCTCCCGTCTCCCCACTCATCTGTAAGTCAATACATCTGCACACACAAGTAAGGTACTTAGCACAGTAAGTAACGCTATGACTCAAACGTGTACGTGTGCTTTTCCGATTCTCAAGCATAAAGCCACCTCAGAGCATTACACACCAGGGTATTCACGGCAGCTGAAGAGCAAAAGACCGGGAACAACCTAAATGTCACCCAGCGAATGACCGGTTAATCCCGTCACTCTCACAGAGAATACCAGCAGCTGTTAACGGGAAGGAGGCGTCCCTGCTCCTACTGATGTGGAAAATCGCTCCGCAACGTGCGCGTTATAAACCGGCATCCGTGTGGAGGAAATACTCGTACCTCGGTAGGCTCATTTACAAAATCAGCATCCGGAAGTTCGGAGTACCTGAGGGTGATGGCGCCGTCTGAAGGAAGCTGAAGGAAAGGCAAGAAGCCTACTTTTCACCACACCCTTCGGCACTTTGACTTCTAACATTTTCCTCATTACCTACAAAAATGAAGCCAAGACGTCACCTCGCAGACCGAATACGGGCGCTGAGTACCGGGAAGCAGAGAGGAACCGCACGCACCCCTCGGAATTGGTCGTAGAAGGGAGTCAGTCCTCTCCCAGAACCGGATCCCTACTCACTCCACCATCGAAAACCTGCCTCGAGGGCGTCTGCCTTCCCCTCAGGTCGTGACCCCAGGGTGCTGGGATCGAGTCCTTCATGGGGCTCCCCGCTTCTCCCTCTGCCAGGGCGCTCTCCGACAAATGAATGAATAAAGAAAACCCGCCTAGAGAGCAGCGCGTCCTGGGAGGGGCGGGCCGCCCGCCCGGCTTCTCCTCAGCCAACAGCTTGCTAAAAAGGCACCGCGCACCCGCCCTCTTCATCTTCCAACCCCCGAGCACTGGGCGAGAGACACTATCAGGCGCACCGCCGTATCCCCACGGCACCGAGACCCCCCCCCCCAAGCACGCAGCAGTCAAGAAAACGCTGCTGACAGGATGCCGAGCAAACCGCGCGGGGGGGGGGGCAGAGCCCACCCTACACCTGCGGCCAGAGACCTCCGCGAGAGCCGCCCGTTCTGCAGTCACGCCCGGACGCGCGCGGCCCACAGGCCCCTCCTCCGTCCCCAGGTCCCGGGTCCGAAAAGCCGGGGCCTCACCGCCGCCAACACCCGACCGCGGCGAACCCTTACTGCCCCGGAATAGAGCCCTCCTACGCGCAATGGAGGCCGCGCGGCCGCGAGGGGCGGGACCGTCGGTGCCGCCACCCAGTGAGCGGCGCTAGCCGCCCCGCGGCCCAATGGTAGCGGCTCACGGGAGCTCCGGGGGCGGGGCGGGCGCGCCCGACTTTTCCAGAAGCCTCCGGGAGCGCGCGCCTCCTGGCCACGCTGCGCCGGCGTTGGGACCTGGGCGCGCCGCCAGGTTTCTTCCTCTTCCTGTGCTGGTTAGCGATGGCGGCCGTGAAGACCCTGAACCCCAAGGCCGAGGTGGCTCGAGCCCAGGCGGCGCTGGCGGTGAACATCAGCGCGGCCCGGGGCCTGCAGGATGTGCTGAGGACCAACTTGGGGCCTAAAGGCACCATGAAGATGTAAGGCGGGTCTGGCGGGGCGGGGGCCGGGCGGACACCCAGCGCCATTGCGGGGCTGGCGCAGGGGACCCGGGCCTCGAGCCGGGCGCCCCCGGGCTTCACCACTCGCAGCTGCGGCCCTGCTTACCCGCAGACTCCCGGGTCGCTCCTGTTTCCTGCCCCGACCGTTTCCTCTTGTAATGGATGCCGTTTCTGCGGAGAACAAAGCCGCCCGCGTGCGCGACTCGCTCCGCGCCCGGCGACTCCGGCGACCCTGAGGGGGGCAGGCTGTTTCTCCGGAGGGAGGGCGTGGGCACTGCACCATTCCTTTACGGGCGGCGAGAACCGGCCGCGTGGCCCCGCTCCCTAGGATCAGGGTAAAGCCCGGTTGCAGTGGGACTCTTCAGTTAGGTCCCCGTTGAAAAAGTCACACTGATTCTTTTGTGCCTTCGAACAGGCTCGTTTCGGGAGCTGGAGACATCAAGCTCACTAAAGACGGCAATGTGCTGCTTCATGAAATGGTGAGAGGCTGCTCTACCAGGTCCAAAATGTCCGCGTTTTCCGCGTTGCGTGTGATTTGCAGGAAGGTTTTTAATGTTATTTTCAACAGAGGGCACGTTGGTCAGCTCTCAGCAGGTCTTTCAGACAGTGGTGGAAGTAAGAAGGGAATGCGGTAAGAGCACTGACCGTACAGTGGCCGGAGGGATCCTGCAGTCACAGCTTACTTTTGAGTCCCTGTTCTGGCCAAAGGGTTGTAGTTATTAAGATTAACTCTGTTAAAATCTGAAAAACTAAGTGATTGACAGGTGCAAAATGGTTCTACTTTTTCGCTTTTTAAAACACTCATTTCTGTCAACATCTCTCTCCACCTCCAGACTCAAAGGGAGATAAAATTCAGTTTTACTGTTGAAGTTCACTGACCAAGAGCATGAGACCGTTGAGAGAAGCACTTGTTTGACTCATCCCTAGGTTTCCTGAATCTAGCACTTAAAATCCAAGGAATCTAGCACTTAATGCCTGTGTTTTGAGGCTGGGCTTGAACTCAGGACACTGAAAGGCCCTGAGATAGCAGTGGGAAGCTTAACCAAATGAGCCATCCAGGTGCTAAAATACAGGGCTTTAATAGTGGTGTACCATGCCTTCAGTACGCAGATGTTTGTAAATATCTTCAGTAAGAATTAGATAACCTAGAAAGTTCGGTTTTATTTTTAGTTGGCTAAGTGGTGACCTGCACTAACAGACAATACTTAGAGTCATAGGATGTCAAAAAAGCTTTATCTGTGTGGCTTATTTTATTTTACTTGAGTTCTTAAATTGTGTAATACAATATAAATTGAGAGAGGGGTGCCTGGGTGGCTCAGTGGGTTAAGCCTCTGCCTTCGGCTCAAGTCATGATCTTAAGGCCCTGGGATTGAGCCCTGAACCCCACATTGGGCTCTCATTGGGGAGCCTGCTTCCCCCTCTCTCTGCCTGCCTCTCTGCCTCTGATTTCTCTCTCTCGGTCAAATAAATAGAATCTTTAAATATATATATATACATATAGAAGCACATGAAGCCAGTGAGACGTATACAGTATTACTCATGTAATATTCTTGTCCCCCTAAAATTAACATCACATTTAGGTGAGATAGTTTGCAAGATATCTGGCCTAGATTCTTAAAACTGTCAGTGTCCCCAAAGAGAAAAGGCTGGAAACTGTTCTAGATTACAGAGAATAAGGAGACTCCTTTGTAATTATAAGAATCCGTGGGTGATATTGGAGACTTAGTGAATACCCTGTTCTTACAGAACCTTTCAAGATTTAGCATTCACTCATGATCTTTGCTAAAGGTCTATTTAATTTTTTGTTCAATTCCAAGTAATGCTGGAGACTGAGATTTTAGAAGGAACCTGGTTTACTCTCAAGAGTTCTAAAGAAGTTTGCATGGATTTGAAATTATTTCTTACTGTTAACTCTGTCATCTTCAGTAAAACTTACTAGGCCTCAGATTTCCTCATCAGTAAAGTGGAGATGATCTCAAATCTATATGTGAAAATGTTTGAGTTACCATAAATTAATGTGGGAAATAGTTGATGGTGAGTTTTAAATCAGCATGGTTTGTAGCTGAACACTTGGGCAATTTACACAAATAGATGCACTTAAGGAGACCTTTCGCACATTTTATGGTATATGTGGACTATTTCAGTTGAAGTAATTTTTTTCTTTTTCTACTTTCAGCAAATTCAGCACCCAACAGCCTCCTTAATAGCCAAAGTAGCAACAGCCCAAGATGACATAACTGGTGATGGTACCACTTCCAATGTCCTAATCATTGGCGAGCTACTGAAGCAGGCGGATCTCTACATTTCTGAAGTATACATGATTCTTGTTTCCGTAGTAGTTTATATATAGGAAATTTGTATAAATTGAGTTGTTAATAATAGCTGTGGCCGTGTTGTAGAATGTGAAGAGCAGGGGCTTAATCTGGGAACTAGAACCTATGTCATGGTCTTAATACAAGTTTATTGTGATCTTGGACAGATTAAGGAAACTTCCTTGTCCTGAAGGCTTTTTAAATCAAGTTGCATTTACATATTATTTATATAAGTCTATAAGAGAGTGATATTTGAGATCTCAAAACAGGATATTCAGGACTAGGCATATTTATTTAAAGGACAAAGCCAACTAAAACATAAAGAATTACAAAATGTTTTGAACCCTGAGTTAGTCTGAGGGTTAAAGCAAACCTTAGTAGTAATCCAAAGCCAAGAAATTCTTGGAAAGAGAGAAAAAGCAGAACCCTAGTCTCCTGTTTGTTTTTGTTAGTAAATGATGTGAATCAAAAAGGTAAATGGTCTTATTGAGTATGGTTGTAAGTTTTGGCCATTATTCCTTGTGGCTTGCACAGTGAACACCCAAGTGTGCTTTATAGTTCCCTTGGCTTTGAGTCTGTGCTAGAGCAATGTCTGTTCTTTCCCTCTGCATTGAAAGGACTATTTATCCTTTTAAATGTATTCAGAAAGTCAGCACATTGTAATAAAGCATGTGAATGATCTAGAATATTCCTTTAAAAGTTTATTTTATCATCTAGTTGAAGAACTTCAGTTAGTGGTGGTTATATAATTGTATATTTATAGGGTCTTCATCCCAGAATAATAACAGAAGGATTTGAAGCTGCAAAGGAAAAGGCACTTCAGTTTTTGGAACAAGTCAAAGTAAGCAAAGAAATGGACAGGGAAACACTTATAGATGTGGCCAAAACATCTCTGCGTACTAAAGTGCATGCTGAACTTGCTGATGTCTTAACAGAGGTATGTTAAATGTGGTATGTGTCCAGTGTGCACACCTATACTGAAAATCCCTGGCATACTTTATAGTTGAAATTACAAGGTGCTACCTAAAAACTCACAGTATCATACCATGTGAAATAAGTAGTTTCTCTTTTTGTGGCAATGAGAGCTGATGTGTGTGAAATGAGAAAAATAGTAGTATACCTGACCATGTTATAAAGATGTAATTGGATTTTTCTTCGAAGGTGTATAAAATTGAGATTTTATTGTGAAAATATCCCCAATATTTGTAATAGAATAGTAGGGATGTCAGTGATTCTTTATGTAATTGTAAATTGAGATGTCAGAAATTTAAGTGACTTCAATCCTTTACAACTAATGTATTCTGTTACTGACTAGGAAAAAAGCATAGATTGATTCAGAGATTTTAAAGACATGTAAATTTCTCTGAAGAACGAGCAATGTGTCTGGACTTCTGCAAATCAAATTCATCTAATGGTTATGCTCTTATTGTAGGCTGTGGTGGACGCCATTTTGGCCATTAAAAAACAAGATGAACCTATCGACCTCTTCATGGTTGAAATCATGGAGATGAAACATAAATCTGAAACTGATACAAGGTAGGTGGTAGAATGCGATTAAATACTTACAAAGTGTGTTTATAAATTTACAGGCACCTTATACATATGTTCATATCATTTGGCTGATTTCTTTTTCTTCGAGTTTATGTGTATTGCCTAGATAAGTTAGTTTTTAGTTTAATTTAGTATTTAGTTTGCTCAGTTTTGCTCTTGAAATGATGTATTTATAGTTGGAATTATTCTGAAAAGTGAGCTGTGTCAGTGATTTATTAAACTGTAGGTTACAAAGCATAACAGGAGACTTTTGGGGGGAATTTAGAATATATATTACATTTCAGAGGCCTAGTTCGGAAATAATTTTTAAAAGGAGGTGATCACAATCTGAGAGCCTACCAGTTGCTATTGTTTCTCTGCAGAATTTTCTGTACAAGATAAGGGTTGTTACTTTTGTTTGAATGGCATGTTTTTGTACTATGTTCTGGGTATTGCTTTTTCATAATTGAATCTGCCTAGGTTTAACCCAAAAGCCTTTTTAAAAAACTCAAGAAATATAATGTGAAAATTACCAATACAGTCTCAATTCAGTATTTCAGTTTCATTAGTATAGGTTATATATCATCTGGAACTAAATAACAGTATAAATTATCATGTGTTTCAACAGCTTAATCAGAGGTCTTGTTTTGGACCATGGGGCACGGCATCCTGATATGAAAAAAAGAGTAGAAGATGCATACATCCTCACGTGCAATGTGTCATTAGAATATGAAAAAACGTGAGTTTACAGCCCCTTAACAAATGGAATAGAAAGGTGGAGGAGCTGGGTATTTTGGAAGCAAGTCACTTGTGAGATTTAAGTTTCCCCACTGTGAGGGCAGTAATGCTTCAGTTGGGTTCAGGTGAATTCTAGGAAACAACCTCTGGAAATATACCAGGGGGCAGGATTGGAGCTCAGTGGCTATTTGTTAAATCTCAAGACCAACCCTGTTTCTGAGGCTGCTGGTTTATCTTCTCAAAAAATAAACATTCTTGGGGCACCTGGGTGGCTCAGTCGGTTGAGCCTCTGCCTTCAGCTCAGGTCATGATCTCAGGGTCCTGGGATCGAGCCCCACATCGGGTTCCCTGCTCGGTGGGGAGTCTGCTTCTCCCTCTCCCACTCCCCCTACTAGTGTTCCCTCTCTCTCTCTCTCTCTCTGTGTCTCTCTCTGTCAAATAAATAAATAAAATCTTAAAAAATAAATAAATAAACATTCTTCCCCCACCCCCCTTCTGTCACTTTTTCTTAAATAGAGAAGTGAATTCTGGCTTTTTTTACAAGAGTGCGGAAGAGAGAGAGAAGCTTGTAAAGGCTGAAAGAAAATTCATTGAAGATAGAGTTAAAAAAATAATAGAATTGAAAAAGAAAGTTTGTGGTGATTCAGATAAAGGATTCGTTGTTATTAATCAAAAGGTGAGAATGAAATGAGTCTGTATTGTCCATTTTGCTATTTTTTAAGGTGCCTTTTGTTGTAACTAATTGTTGTTTTTGTTATAGGGAATTGACCCCTTTTCCTTAGATGCTCTTGCAAAAGAAGGTATAGTAGCTCTGCGTAGAGCTAAAAGGAGAAATATGGAAAGGTATGGATAGCGTATTACCTTAGTGTTGTAAATTTTACTTACTTTGCAAATTAAGTGGGATTACTTCTTTTTTCTGTTCTTACTATTGTGTTTTTTATTCTGAATAAAATACACATAATGCAAAATTTATCATTTTACTCATTTTTTCCCAACATACAATTTAGTGGCATTAAGTTATATACACATTATTGCGCAACCATCATCATCATCCATCTCCAGAACTTTTTCATTTTTTTCCAATGTACAATTTAGTGGCATTAAGTTATATACACATTATTGTGCAACCATCATCATCCATCTCCAGAACTTTTTCATCTTCCCAAACTGAAACTCTACTCATTGAATAGTAACTTTGTTTCTTTCCCCTGCCCCTGCAAATACTACTATTCTACTTTGTCTCTGAATTTGGTACCTCATATTAAGACATCATGCAATAGTTGCCCTCTTGTGTCTGGCTTATTTCACTTAGCATGATGTTTCCCAAGTTCACCATGTTGTAATGGGTTAGAATGCTGTTCCTTGTTAAGGGCGAATGATTGTTGTATGGATATATCACCTTTTGTTTATGCATTTATCAGTGGACACTTAAGTTTCTTCCTTTTGGCTATCGTGAATAACGCTTTTCTGAACATTGTTGTATGCTTTCGTTTTAAACCGTGATGTGTACATTACCATGTCCAGAGTATCAAGGGGTTTCAGAGAACAACTTTTTCCCCAGACCTCACCACAATGAAGAGCTCTTGTTCATCTTGAGATTTCTTATCAGAGGAGTATTTGCTGACTTTGAAAGAGTGGATTAAATGTCAAGTTAGGAGGAAAAACTGGTTTAGCTGGTTGGTGGTGAATGGGAATGTTTTAAGTTAAAATAACATTTTAGGATTTTAATATGTAATTATGAAAGATTGCTTCCTAAAGATTATTAATAATCTCTTTAGACATAACAGAGCCGCTTACACATCTCCCTTAACACACTTCACTGTTTCAGGCTGACTCTTGCTTGTGGTGGAGTGGCTCTAAATTCCTTTGATGACCTAAGTCCTGATTGTTTGGGACATGCAGGACTTGTCTATGAATATACATTGGTAAGTGTATTTTCTTTCCAAAGATAATGTAATAAATACTGATTTTTGGTTCATGAATTCTTTGGTAGTAAAAATTCATTCACACTTAGTATCAGGTTTTTGCTTTGTGTACATACATTTTGAAGGTTATGTGTAGTAAATGATAAGCCACTGATGGGGAAAACCACATTTCTTTTATATGTGATTTTTTTTTAATGAAGTAATTTGCTTTACTATTATTGGTCTGTTGGTCCCTTATTAATATGCTACTTATTCTTCCATAAGCCCTGTAAGCTTTTCATTCTTTGTCCAAACATATCTTGTTTTTAAAAAATATTATCTCTTGTTCACATAGGGAGAAGAGAAGTTCACTTTTATTGAGAAATGTAACAATCCTCGCTCTGTCACATTATTGATCAAAGGACCAAATAAGCACACACTCACACAAATCAAAGATGCAATAAGAGATGGCTTGAGGGCTGTTAAAAATGCTCTTGATGATGGTAAGATCCTTACTGTATTTATGTTCTTTGGCTAGTGTGAAAGGCATGGCTGAATACTGTGTTCTTTTTATCAGTAGTTTACACAGCCAGACACCATGCAAAAGTAAAGTCCTCCCTCTAAAATGCCTGTGATGGTATGCTAAGCTTTTTCATAGCATATCATATTTAAAAGTGGGTACAGGTAAATGAGCTAATACTAAAAGCTTGCAGATACTAGTTAAATTGAACCATTTTGCCATTTGATGTGTTGATTATAGTGCTTTCAAGTACAATATTAACATTGTGGTGACTGTAATACATTCTTAGGAAATTAATGATTTTTATGTTGTGTTTTATGTATTAAAAATGATTCTACAGCTTTGTTTTGTTGAGCATTTCTCTCCTTCCTCGCCCATCCCCCACAGGCTGTGTAGTTCCAGGAGCAGGTGCAGTGGAAGTGGCAATGGCAGAAGCCTTGATTAAGTACAAGCCCAGTGTAAAGGGCAGGGCCCAGCTGGGAGTTCAAGCATTTGCTGATGCATTGCTCATTATTCCCAAGGTAGGACTACCTTAACAGTGTTCCTAACTATATCAAAATGAGTTAGCTGACGAAAGTTTTTGATAATGTGGGATCTTTTTCATAATGTAGATTTTGAGTAAACAGGTTTTATCAACTTTCTCGTGTGTGGGATCTTTTTTATAATGTAGATTTTGAGTAAACAGGTTTTATCAACTTTCTCCTGAATGTAGCTAGAGTTCGGTAGCTCTCATCAGGCAGATGTGTTTGGTTCCTCTGGAAGGGAGTTGAGTATCTGAAGTTTCAGATGCAGGAGAGAAACTGTTTTTAGAGGGTTTGGAGTGTAGGGGTTATACTCCCGAGTAAACCTTGCTTTTTATTTTTATTCTATTATGTGCTCATTTGGGGGTATTGCTCATGGTCAGTGTGTTGCTGGGCTAAGTAGATTGAGTCAGTAACAAATGTCTGTTCTGTGAAATGAACATAAATATCGGTCTGTCTTCATTAAAGGTTTGTTGTTTTTTTGTTTTTAAGATTTTTTTAATCCATTTGACAGAGAGCAAAGCATTGGGAGCTTCAGAGAGAGGGAGAAGCAGGCTCCCCACTGAATAGGGAACCCAGTGCAGGCTCTGATCCCAGGACTGTGGGATCATGACTTGAGCTGAAGGCAGACGCTTAACTGAGCCACCTAGGCGCCCCTTTGTTTGTTTTTCTTAATTGGAATTATAGTTCATTTATTGTAAATTGACTATCACTTCTTAGGTTCTGTCTTTAAAGGATTAAATTTGTTTGTTTTAGGTACTTGCTCAGAATTCTGGTTTTGACCTTCAGGAAACACTAGTTAAAGTTCAAGCAGAACATTCAGAATCAGGTCAACTTGTCGGTGTGGACCTGAACACAGGTAAGAGAACACAGCTATTTATAGGGGGAGAGCTAGATTCAGGTAAGAGAAAGCCAGGAAGGTAAAAAATGGAGATAAATGAAAAATAAGTTAAAAAAATAGAGATAAATGAATCTTGGAGTGATGCTTTGCAGTTTGACATCAGTGTTATTAGGGAACCCTGAGTTCTAAAAATTATAAAAATGGAATGACAAGATACAATAAGTAATGGAATAAGGTAGACATTTGTATAATTTCAAAGAGGATGGATTTTTTATGTTGCTGAGTAGTAGTAGGTGGTTCAGGTTAATATGGAAGGATTTCATGTTGGGCTGACTGTACTGTCTTTTATCTGGGACTTTAAAAAGAAAATACATGAGATGATGGTATTCATGGATGAAAAAAGGCTGAGGATAGCAAATAATGCTGAAAGATGGGATTAAGTCTTAATGAAATGATTTTAAAGTCCTAGTCTTAAATGCAATAACACAAAATAGACAAGTAGAAACTGGAAGAAAGAGAACTGAGATGTATACATCCGTGTGGTTTGTGTAAGACCTATTGTTATCAATAACATCCTTTACATTCAGGTTAATAGAAAAGGTTTCTGGGATGAGGGAAATGATAACCCCATTTTGGCCAGATTATAGTTCAAATGCTTTTTACTTTAATAGGGACAAATGAGAATGTGTCCCATAAAATAGAGATGATCAATCATTTGGTAATCAAATAGAGCATTACTATTACTAGAAGCCTTCTGAGTAGAGATCAACCAGTTAATCAGAGATGGTGTATACAGGATTCATGGTTTGGAGCAACATTGGGCTAATGGAGGAAGTCTGGATAATGAGCAAATGACAAAATACTCTGTTGTCTTAGCATTCTGATCTTGTAACCTCCTGTGTGGTTTTAAGAAACCTGGATTGCTTTGCAGGTGAGCCAATGGTAGCAGCAGAAGTAGGCATATGGGATAACTACTGTGTAAAGAAACAGCTGCTTCACTCCTGGTAAGTTTGAGAAAGCCAAAACTAAGATAACCTTTAGGGACTCATCACACTCTTAATTTGGTGTTTTCTATTTAATTACTTCGGTTTTTTGTTTGTTGTGGGGTTTTTTGTTTTCATTTTTTTGTTTGGTTTTGGTTTGCAGAAATGGTCATCAACTGAAAGTATAGAAATTAAACTAGCCTTCCATGTTTTGGAGGGGAAAGAAGAAACTTAATTGGATATAATTTGCAGTTTGGAAATTGAGCTGAATTAGGGTTCATATCTCAAATCTGAGCCATCTGAATTTTCCTCCCCTTTCAGCACTGTGATTGCCACCAACATTCTCCTGGTTGATGAGATCATGCGAGCTGGAATGTCTTCTCTAAAAGGTTGAATTTGAAGCTTGCTTCATGTCATCCGAATCATGAAGACTATAGAGTGATCCTGAGAATATAGCAACAGAATTTTTGTCCAAGCTTCAAATAATTTTCAAAAGCATTTTCTTTTCCCATATGAAAAAAGAGAACACTGACACTTAAATTCTGAAGTTCTGAAATTAGAGTATTTTTTTAAATTGCACTGCAGTGTACACCCATCAAGCAGGCCGTTTTTACCCAATGAGAAGGATGTTTGCTTTAGCTTCAGTGATACAAAAGTCCCATGTTAGTTAAGTATATGTTATCTACCTTGTTATTAAATGTAACTTGAAGAACAAATTGTAATGGTTTAGTAATTTCTTCTAATGGACGTATTCTCATTTATCCAGTAGTTCACTCCACTGTTACACTAGGAAGTTTTGCTAATACAAATTCTAAAGTAACTTAAAATTTTGAAAGCATCCCTTTTTAGTTAATTCCTGTGAGTGAAACTCTTGGATCTTGGGACTTCTAGTGATTTACAAGCAGCTGTGCTTAAATGCTCCCCGTTAGAGTCGTCGTGAACGGAAGAACGGGGGAGCTGAGTAAGCCCCGAGTGTGACGTGGGGAAAACAGGCCGTCTCACCACTGCCGCCTCCACTTCTTTAAGGCCGCGGCTGAGGGGTAGATTGTCCGCGGGTCGTGTCTTCACACCCCCGTGTCTGTGCTCGTGCTGACGAGCCCGTCCCTCCACCCGCGGTTACGAAATTGTGTGGTCGGTGTGTCTCTGCAGCCCCCGCCCCCGAAGTTGTATGTTGTGAAGCTTTGTGTTTTGGGGGGCTTGGCAATTGCGTAAGTACGTGCGCAATAAATGTTAAGTTGAAACCTTTTCTCTGATCTCGAAATGCTATTCCAGCGCCCGACAAGGATTAGAATATAAAAGGGAAGGAAATCGGTCAAAATGTTCTCTTCATAGGGTAATGAGGGGCTTCTGGAAAGGCGGCGTCCCTCAGCGCTAAGCCTGACAAACACTGATCTTACCTGGCTCCACACGCGTTCAGTTTGGACCCAGGTGTAGCCGGGGACGCACTAAACCGTAACGCTCCCCCCGCCCCCAAAAAAAGCTCGGGCCGTACGCACGCAGTACGGCGCCCGACGTGGGGCACGTACTACGGCCGCCGACGCAGGGCACGCGAAGCGCATGCGCGGCAGGGCCGTCCTGTGCGCGCGGCTCGTGTTCCCGCCATGGGCCCCTCGCCGCCGGTGCTGACGCTGCTGTTGCTCCTGTGTGGTCCGCGGTTCGAGTTAGGTCAGTGTGCTGGCCTGACCCTGTGTGCCCCGGGAGACATCAGGAAGGGGGTGGGGTCCCCGCCCTGGTCGGGCGAGAGACCGTGGCCCCTCCGCCCGCTTCCCGGAAGGGCTTGCAGCGGCCGGACGCACTTCCCGGAGGCGGCGCGGTGGTGAACGGCGTGCATCTACCTTCTTTTTTGCTTTTCTGGACTAAAGTAAAGAGAATGTAAAGACACCCCCTCCCATGTGCTCGTCCCGCAACTTAAAACAGTTGCGAATTGATAGCTAATCTTGATGTTTTGGTATCGCTCCCACTTTCCCATTTCCCTGCAGCCTTTTTTTTTTTTTTTTTTAATTTTATTTTTTATAAACATATATTTTTTCCCCCCAGGGGTACAGGTCTGTGAATCGCCAGGTTTACACACTTCACAGCACTCACCATAGCACATACCCTCCCCAATGTCCATAATAACCCCATCCCCCCCAACCCCCTTCCCCCCAGCAACCCTCAGTTTGTTTTGTGAGATTAAGAGTCACTTATGGTTTATCTCCCTCCCAATCCCATCTTGCTTCATTTACTCTTCTCCTACCCCCTTAACCCCCATGTTGCATCTCCTCTCCCTCATATCAGGGAGATCATATGATAGTTGTCTTTCTCCCATTGACTTATTTTGCTAAGCATGATACCCTCTAGTTCCATCCACGTCGTCGCAAATGGCAAGATTTCATTTCTTTTGATGGCTGCATAGTATTCCATTGTGTATATATACCACATCTTCTTTATCCATTCGTCTGTTGATGGACATCTAGGTTCTTTCCATAGTTTGGCTATTGTAGACATTGCTGCTATAAACATTCGGGTGCATGTGCCCCTTCGGATCACTACGTTTGTATCTTTGGGGTAAATACCCAGCAGTGCAATTGCTGGGTCATAGGGTAGTTCTATTTTCAACATTTTGAGGAACCTCCCTGCAGCCTTTTTGAAGTGAATCCAGGCATTATACACTTTTATTTGTAAACACCAGCTTGAAAAGCCAAAAAGAGAGTCATGAAAAAAATACCATCCTCTTTCCCTGATTTAAAAAGGTAACAGTTCTCTTTAATTAATGTCACTAAACGGCGGTTCACCAGCTGTCCTGTTACGGTTTACTGGCGCTAGCGTCGAAATAAAGTGCGCGCATTGCAAGTGCATGTCGTTTCTTAACTCCCTTTAATCTGAGTGCCCTGCTTGCTCCGTTTCTTTCTCCCTCGAAGTTGATGAAATCATCCGTGTGAGTGCGTCAGAACGAGAACAGGAGGTTACAGACAGAAACACGCGAAGAGTGTGCACTCTGCTGCCATAAAGGAACTTAGGGTACTTGGACGTCCTAAAGTAGAAACAGAACTTTCCAAAATGGGGACAAATGTGGTGGGTTGGAAATAGCACTGACCTGGAAGTAAGGAGACCCGGAACATCTAGTCCTTGTTCCCGGCTAACTAGCTTTTCATGTGTTTTTCCTTTTTTGAGTCCTGGGTTTTTTCCTGTTAAATAAGGAGGTTGAATTAATGATCCTTTTAATCCTGATTTTCTGACATGCTCAAACAGTGGATATGAAGGATCTCAATCAATTATTTGCTAAGTACTGTGCTCTGTGCTAGATGCCAGGAATACAGTGGCCAAATAGATGTAGTACTTTTCTTCCTGGAACATCTGATATAATGGGGGAAATCAATAAGAAATGGGGAGGAAGAGGCAGAGAAACAACATGAGAAGTATGGATAGACAGGGTCTGCGAGTATTTCAGGGTCTTAATGTCTAGGTTCAGCTAGCTGGGACAGAGTTGTTGGGTACAGTAAGGACAGAAATAAACATTTGTTGAATAATTACCATCTGCTCAGAACATTTCACACATAAAATTTTAATTTATACAGCCACACCTATGAAATAGATGTTATCTCTACTTTGTAGGCAAATAAATCTGACTCATTTGCCTAAGATTACCCAACAAATTAAGAGGCAGAACAGGAATTTAAGGCCATATTTTTAAGCCTACTTTTTTTTCATTACACCCTTATGAATATTACATATAATCCAAATATTGCCACTTGTTTAATATATATTCATGTATTACTGATGATGCTTCTTTTTCTCTACAGGCAATGGGCAGACTACTAACATGGTCCAGCTACCAGGTGGGAGATTCCAGATGGGAACAAATTCTCCAGATGGCAGAGATGGTGAAGGGCCTGTCCGGGAGGTGACAGTAAAACCCTTTGCCATTGACATATTTCCTGTCACCAACAAAGATTTCAGGTACATCAGGTGTTCTTCCAAGAGTGGTAGAGCTTTTTCAAATTTTCATTCCTTATATCTAAAAGGAAAGTAGCTTATTTACTATTGCATGTCATCTTTGCGGTAATGCTGTGGGATAAGTGTTACCTACATTTTTCAGATGAAGAATCTGAAGTCTGGAGGTTCACGCTCTGTTAGTGGCGGAGCTGGGTCTGCAACTCACAGCCCCCCACTCTTCAGCCCGTGGATTTTCCATTACACTGGCTGTAGCACTGAGAACTATGGGCGGGAGTCAAACACTCAACGAAAACCTCTTCCACAGGGAGAAGGAATTGGGAGCAGGGTCGTAGTAGCTGAGTCTCTTAAATTCCCTTTATATTTACTTAGGGAAATGGAGTTAGTCTAGGACAGACATTGTGGTTCCAGCTCAATCTAAGAAGCCATGCTGAGCTGCCTCAGTCTCCTCACGGTGGTATGTTTTGTGTATGTTTGTGCAGGCTAAAGCAGAAAATGATCCAGGAGATACCTGTGACTTACCTTCAAAGGATACAGTGGGGGATGTAGAGGGAGGAGGGGAGTATAAGGAAAAGGAAGGAACAGAACGACAAAGCAAACGTGGGAAATGACTTAAGTGTTACATTGTGGACTTAGAAAAAAGTTGATTCGGGGCGCCTGGGTGGCTCAGATCATGATCCCAGGGTCCTGGGATTGAGCACGCATCAAGCCCCTGATTGGGCTCCTTACTTAGAGGGAAGCCTGCTTGTCCCTCTCCCATTCCCCTTGTGTATGTTCCCCCTCTTGCAGAGAGGGAGACAGACAGAGAGACTCTGTCTCTGTTATAAATAAATAAAGTAAAAAAGGACAAAAATTTTTTTTCTTTGATTCAGGAGACACAGACGGAGGTGAACATAAGGGTGGTTGGTGACTTCTCAGGCCCTTTGACTTAGTGATTCCACCCTTACAGATTCTCCTTAAGGAAAAGAATTAAAGTCTTCCAAAAACGTTTAGCTAAAAAGATGGCATTGTGAACAAATACTAACAACATAAGGATCACTTAAACATGTTATATCAACATCACAGAATACTTAGCAGCCATTAAAATCTTTTTGTCAAAAAGAATTGTGAGATGTTAAGTGAAGAAAGTAGCTTACAAACAAAATACAGGGTATGATCCTAGTTTTAAAAAATACGTGCATGGAGTGTAAATGCGTTTAAAAAGAACTGGAAGGTGTAACATTGCTTTAGGTAACAGATTTTGCCCATGTTTTTGTGACTTCCAAATGAGAATAATTGCACGGAAGCACTTTTTGTTTTTTGTTTTGTTTGTTGTTTTTTTTTTTTTTAGGTAAACACCTTCTTAAAGCTATTTAGAAATCCTTGCGGAGGGGGCAGAACAGGAAAGGATATGGACGATATATCTTAGTTGATGTAATAATGGATTTCAGTTTTTTTGTTTTTATCTACCTCTATTTTCTCATTTTTCTATAATGTGCATTACTTACATGTGGTTTTTAAAAGAATGTTTATTAAAATTTAAGGAGAAATCACTTCGGGTCAGGCTTGCGCTATATCATGACAGAAACAGCTAGGTAGGTAGATGCATGTCCACTTTTGTGTATTTCAAGTTATGACCTATTTTATGATAGAAATCTTTTATATTTCAAATAACACTAGTTTGTTACTTATTTATTTGTTTTTATTATCTGTTTATGATAGACTTTCAGCAAGCCCCTAAACATTGCTTAGAACCCATGATTTATCTCTGCCTCTCTGGTGGAAGATTTTCAAACCGTTCAGACGCTCTGAGGTTGGTAAATAGCTATTAATCTGACCTCCTCCATTCTCAGTGCCCCTTTCACGGGTGAACAAGGTCTTCTCAGATCAAAGGGCAGGCATCGACAGGGTACTTTTAGCCCAGTGAAAACAATACATCTTACCCTGGCAGTTTGCTTGCTGAAATTTGCTTTACCATACCAAACTGTGTGAACATCCGTTCTAAAATTTCAGCACATTATTTTTATATGATTCCATTTTTTTCATCTGTTAGATGGAAATAGTAACACACATTCTGCCTCCCTCTCGTGATTGTTGTGTGAGTAGGTGTATGATGAAGACCTTTCAGAGAAGAGACCCATTCCCCACCCTTAAATCTTCTCAACAGCTTTATTCATAATCTCCCCAAACTGGAGATTACCAGATGATCTGCGCCTGGTGAATGGGTAAGCGAAGTTTGGTGCATCCGTACAGTAAAATGCTACTCAGAATCGAAGAGGGACAAGCTTCCAATACTGGCAACACATGGATGAATGTCAGAAGTATTATGCTAAGTGAAGCCAGACCCTACATACTGTATGATCCAATTTATGTGAATTTATATTCTGGGCGAGGGAAAACTATAGGACAAAAACAGATCAGTGGTTGCAGAGGCATGAGGGAATTTTTAGAGGTGGTTGATAGACTTGCTCTGTATCTGGATTGTGATGGTGACTGTCTGCTTTGTCAAAAATCACAAAACTATGCACTAAAAAGAGTGCCTTACTGTATGTGAATTAAACATACAGCCACAGATTTTAAAAGAAAATCTCCTGCCTGGGCTTTCATAGGACCTGCTTGTTGCTGACAGAAACTCTGTGATGTGTGGCTTTGAGGAGACTCTGTGAGGTTTTCTGGAGCAAGAGGGGGTGAGAGCGGGACATGGAACCTTATCATCAGCTTAACCAAGTGAAATATCTCTTTTCAGGGAGTTTGTCAGGGAAAAAAAGTACCGGACAGAGGCTGAGATGTTTGGGTGGAGTTTTGTCTTTGAGGACTTTGTCTCGGATGAGCTCAGAAACAAAGTGACCCATCAGATGGAGGTGAGAGAACCGGGCTTGCAGCGGAGGGAGTGCGAGTGGGTTATGGTGCTTACGGTAGAGTACCACAGGGAAGCCCACCTGAGAGCTGCGGGAGGGAGGAGCAAGAGAGACCCCCTGCGGAGGGTCCGCGGGACACACACTCCCGGTGTTCACACTGGGCTGGTTTCTGCGCACTGAGGCTCCGTAAGAAACTAGATACGTGTAGGGTTCAAGTTACTCCCTGAGCTGACAAGAGAACAGCCTGGCACCCCTCTAATAACGGCAGTGAGGTGGCCTGCTTTCAGGGTTTCAGAAACACCCCCACGTGGACCCCTTGCGTCTGAGCCTGAAGTGTCATTCTGCCTTGTGTGTGTCAGTCAGGAAGGTGCCCTTGCCGGGTCAGAGAATCTAGCGGTCATACTTCTTCTTTTTTGTAGTCTGTCCTCTGGTGGCTTCCAGTGGAAAGGGCATTCTGGAGGCAGGTAAGGGTTGGTTCCTCTGCCTCATTTTTTTCCACCCCTGCTGACTCTTATTCTGGAAGCCTGGTTTCCCTCCACCCCTTGCCCATCTGGGGATACTAAACTAAAAAAGGCAGCAGCCAAGCACCCTTGTTTCCTCCGCCCTGATCTTCTTGCTCCTTGCCCATCCCATTCCCCACTGGTTCATATTTATGCTCCTTCTGATTCGCCTCTCCTCACGCTCCAGGCAGTCTCCTCCGACTTCCTTGCTCCATCTAGTGGTAAAAGCTGAACTCAGACACCCTAGGCCTAGCCTTCCTCAGACTTCCGTGAAGTCCCAGAAGCCTGTCTCACTTCATCCTGGCTGTCAGCCTGCAGGTCCTGGCTCTGGCATCCGAGAGAAACTGGAGCTCCCAGTGGTACACGTGAGCTGGAACGATGCTCGTGCCTACTGTGCGTGGCGGGGGAAACGGCTGCCCACCGAGGAAGAGTGGGAGTTTGCTGCCCGAGGGGGCTTGAAGGGTATAGAGCTGGCAAGGCGACTTACCTTTATTCTTCTCCCCATCCTGCCCTGCGTGGGAGCTTTGAAGGGGGGAAGGGTCCATACTTCCTAGAGCAGTGCTTCTTAATCTGTGTGGCTCGCGGAGGGCCACTTGTTACCGTTCTCAGTTCTGATCCATCTCAGACCAATAAAAGTTAATAACTGGAAAACTAGAATGAAGAAACAGACGTAAAATTGGTTATTCTTGGAGATTCTACCCAGACATGTTATATTTCAATGCATATAATCAGAACAACAAAGTACAGGGACTAAGAAAAGAATTACCCAGAATCCTTTTCCGTAGGTGTGAAGGGAATCCTACAAAGAGCGGCAGTCCCGACTGAACAGAAAGTCAGGAGAAGGAAACAGCAGCTCATGTTCAGCACCTCTGTTGCTTTTTAAACACCAGCCACGCCATTAGTCAAAATTACTGTGATAAATGAAGTTGCTTGTTTATTTATCCAGTCTAAGTCCAATGGACAAGTTTCTGAGCTCTTACTCTCGGTATCTGTACCTCTCTGGATTTGAGCGGGTAACAGATAGTTTGCAGACTGGCTTGAGTCAGAGCCACACCTGGGACTGCACTGCCCTGGAGCAGATCAGGCGGCCAGGGGCTCCGAATGCGGGATGGTGAATGGAAGGGACAGGCATGGGAAATGAAAGTAAGTAATCTCTCTCTCTCTTTTCTCACCACCTCCTGACTTCCTTTTGGTTCCCTCCCTCTCTCTGGCTTTCCCTTTCACAACCCTTCACCTCCTCCTCCCCCACTGTCTCCTTGCTGTCCTGGCAGGTCAGGTTTACCCATGGGGAAACCAGTTCCAGCCAAACCGCACCAACCTGTGGCAGGTGAGTCATATGTTTCTCACCCCTGTCCCTTCTCAAAGCATTGACCGAAACCTCCTGAGGCTAGGCATTGTGTTGGGCCGTGGGACTGCAGTGGGCTTTGTGTCCTAATGGGACAGGTACCTGGTAAAGCAAAAGACAGTGTGGTAGATCTACATATCGAAGAGTTGCAGAAGTTAGTGATTGCCTGAGCGTGGTGGGGGTGACTTCATGGAGAAGATGACATTTGAGCTGATGGAATAGGAGTTTGCTAAGTGAAAATTGGAGGAAAGGGTGTTCACAGCAGAAGGAACAATGTGAGTGTCAGCACTGCATTGGGAAGGGTACCATGTGTTCAGAAATGGGACAAATTCAGAGAGGCTGGAGCCTAGGGAAACAGGAGGTATAGGAGATGAGGTAGACAGTGGGTTGTATGGTTTTCCCTGCAGACAGTGGGGAGCTGGTGAAGGTTTTTAAGCGGGACTCACAACATCATTTGATTTGGGGAGGATGCTAGTCGCTCATTGGTGCCTAAGTGAAGTAGAGCTGCAGTGGGGGCAGGGGTGGGAGCTGTCTCTGAATTTGAGGCTGTGGCAATGGCGCAGAGGATTATGAACACGTGAATCAAGTAGAAATGGGATGGAGAGGAAGCCAAATGGGAGAGGCATGGCCAAAAGATGGACGGGGTTTGGTAATTAATCAAAGATGAGACGTGGGAGGGAGTTGGATTCAAGCATGAAACTAAGTTTGGGCAACAGGGTTATAGTGCTACCATCATCAGAACAGATGGTATGCAGTTGGGGTCAGAAGGATAGAACGTGATGGGTTTAGCATCAGCTTAGTTTAAGGTACCCTTGGGTCGTTTATGTGCTCAAATATTGGAAATATGAGTCTAGATGTATGAGTCTGGATCTTAGGACAGAGGTCTGGGTCAGAGCAAGTGGTTTGGGAGTCAGCAATATCTATCTTAGGCAAGAATGTTATCCCCCTGGGAATCCCTGTAGAGTGTGGGGTGGGGGGGCACGGCATCAGCATTTCAGGGGAAAGCATTAAAGTGGACCTGAGGGGTAAACTGATCTTTTAGATGATCTTGGGATCAGAGCTTTGCAGAAAGACAGATCTGAGTTATTTGCTATATGGTCTTTGATAAGTTAACCACTTTGAGCCTCAGTCGCCAGTTTCTTAAAAGGAGAAAATACTAGCCTCACAACCGTGCAAGGATGAAATTAAAAGAGAGAAATGTGGCAGCTGGAGCACAGAGTAGCTGTTGAGTAAATTATTACCCCTTCATCTTCCCTTTAGTGAGATCAGCTTCCATAGAGGAGGGGGACCTGAACCCCAGTTTTACTGAGAAGATTGAACAAACTGCATCAGCAAATACAGGTTCCTTCCCAAGCATTTTGGTGATAAGAACAGATGAGGACAGTAGAGTCAGGTCAGATGAGGGAGAGTTAAACTGTTGGTGGTAGAAGGGGAAGAGATGGTACAGGAGAGCACAGGGCAGGCATCAGTCGTCCTTGAGAAGGGAGGTGGTGCTGAGCAGAGAGAAGGAGCCTTCCCAAGGCACTGAAGCACGCGTTCAGGCTGAGAGGTTGAAGCTGCCGAGAGTGGAGAAAGTGGGAGTGGGTTGGGCTTGACGTAGACCACTATGGGCACAGGGAAGCCACACATTTCCAGTCAGGAGGTAATGGTGGAGGACATGAGGAAACAGGTTTGGGAGCTCAGGATGGGCATCTCAGTACACTGCCTCATGCCCTTCATCCTGCCCCAGGTGACCTTGGTTTTCCTCTGGGTAGGCAGGAACACCCACCTTGGAACAGGATGGTAAATGTTTGAGCTTAAATTTCTCCCCCTCAGGGAAAGTTCCCCAAGGATGACAAGGCTGAGGATGGCTTCCATGGAGTCTCCCCAGTGAATGCTTTCCCCCCCCAGAATAACTACGGTAAGGTCTCCCTCCACGTTGCTGTCAACATTCACAAATTGGTTGGTGGGATCACTCTGCCTGAAGGATGAGGCAAGGGAAACACCACCAGGGAAGCATTTGATACCTATGGGGCAGGGGAGTGGAGGATGGTGCTGCCCAGCCTGGGACTGACCCACCTGCTGTGCTGCAGGGCTCTATGACCTCATGGGCAATGTGTGGGAGTGGACAGCATCTCCATACCAGGCTGCTGAGCAGGACATGCGTGTCCTTCGGGGGGCCTCCTGGATCGACACAGCTGACGGCTCTGCCAATCACCGGGCCCGGGTCACCACCAGGTGAGGAGCTTGGTAGCCGGGGGCTGAGGGTCTGGGTCCTGCTCTCCCAGAGCACAGGCAGCCCCAGAGCTGGTGCTGCTGCTGCTTCCACCCCTCAGTCTGCACCCCAAATTGTGGGTACAGAAAAGAGAATAAGCAGCATTTGCCATGAGAAGCAGAAGAACCTAGGTCAACTTGCGCCCTTTCTTGCCGGCTCTCAGCACCCAGAGAGACTTTGTGTCTCATAAGGGTTTCTCCTCTCATCCTCATAACTAGGTGGCAGAGGCAGGGGAGGGGAATGGCCACATCAGTACTAGGTCATGGCCCGTGGTCATGGAAATGCACCCTTCAAAGTGGAAAGTACATGAAAAATAATTTTCTATAACCATTTTACTTCACAGTCAAAATAGGTTCACAGAGGTGCTGGGACCTGTTCATGTCACACAGATGGGTACTGCTGGTGCCTGAATGGTAGAGCCCCCGGCTCCCGAGTTCCCTGCTGGGACTCTCTCTGCTTTGCTCATCTGTAGGGTTATTTGGATGATCTCCCTCTGACTCCTCCCATTCCTGGGTTCCATAAGGACCAGAAAGAGACCACAGTTTCTGTGGCCTCGGGAAGTCAGGTTTGCAGCTGTTTTTTGGGTACATTAAGGCCCTGGCTTTCCCTTACCTCCTTTTCTAGGATAAAGTAGTAGAGAAAGTACTGCCTGGGAGCCAGGAAGCTGGGTTTGCCACTGAATCTCTTGTGCCCGTGAAGCATTGGTTGGCCTTGGCCAGGACATTTAAATCGTCCTGGTATCTGATTCTGGGTCTGTAAAGTGGCGAACAAACCTGCCTGCTGGAAGTGTTGAGAAACGGCAAATGAAGGAATATATGTGAAAGTCCTCTGAAAAGTATGAAGTACTCATTGGCACATGATATTCTCGCTTCTTACTGACAGGTTTGTCTTGGCTGAGTTATTCCGAACTGTGAGCAGTCGAAGTTACTAGTCATTGCCTTTCTTGCCTTCCAGAGCAGACTCTGAGGGCTACACACTCCCACTTCCTCCCCCCTATCCCAAGTCCCTTCTTACCCTTTTCCCCAGGAGTGCCCTCATACCAGCGTTCTTTCTAGTCCCTGCCCTCAGTCGTTAGGCACCCTGGACCACAGCAGGCCCTAGGCGGTTGAGCAGGAAAGCTGGTTAAGGCTCCAGGCCCCTTTCTCAACGAATGTCCATTCTCTTTCCTCTTCTCTGGTGGCAGGATGGGCAACACTCCAGATTCAGCCTCAGACAACCTGGGCTTCCGCTGTGCTTCCAGTGCAGGCCGACTGCCTGGGGAGTTGTGAACAGCCACGCAGAGCCGAGAAAAGCCCAGTGGTACCCATGTCACTCCCTGGCCACATTCCACACAGCCAAACTCCAGGCTCTTCAGCTTCAGCCTCAAGAATGAGTTCCCTCCCCTTACCCCATCCCTCTGTGGCAGGCATCTCTCATCAGGCCAGGAGAGGACTCTGACCTCAGAGGAGGGGTACCGCTATCTCTTGAAGAAGGGGCCTGACTCAGGGATAGTGGCCCGAGAGCTGGCCGTTTCTCGTAGAGGTCAGATATTAACCATATAGGGCCAGTCCTTAAACATCTGGGGCAGAATGCTCTGAAAGGCCCGTCGTTAGAAATTTTTAAATCTGTTCCCTCCCCCTTTCTCAGTGCCTGATGCAGGGATCCAGCATTGTTTTCCGAAGACAGAATTTCCCCATTTTTCTTTGTTTTCCCAGTGAACTGCTGTGGAAGGAAGATCCATCCTTCATTAGCCTCATTTGTGGTGTTTCATGTGCCTCTGAAAGAACCTGATTTCTGCTATTGGTCTGTAGAAGGCGGTAGCTGGTCTCTTTAAAGCACAGTGTGAGTCTTAAAAAGGTCTAAGAACTGAATTATGGACTAGACAAAACTACATTGTGGGAGTCACAAAGTAAGTAACACTCCAGAGAGACAAATAACCAGAGCCTTCCTTTTCTATTTCTATTATTAATTAAATGAGGGCTTCCATGTGCCTCTAAACACACGTCCCTGGAAAGGAACCTGCTTCCATGGTGTCAGTGGGTGTTGCGGGGGTCAGTAAAATTTCCACGATTGTGTATCTCAGACTTTCCTCTCTTTTACCCTCCCCCTGGAACTCTAAGGGAAGTACCTGTGAGTGTCAGGAACTCTGGGCCTCAGGGAAGGACCTGAGATGGTGGTACAGCTGGGAAGGAGAGAAGCAGGAAAGCTCTCAAACCCAAATGCTAGTTGCCCCTCCATGGGGCCTGGCCCTGACCACACTTAAAACGTGTGATGGGAGCACCCTGCTCTCCTTGTGCAGAGCCTCTGAGAGGGGATGGTGGCCCTAGTGCCAGGGGTCCTGGCCAGGGCCAAGTGCCCCCTGTGGATAGAGGCCTGGGCATGGTCTTACTCCTCAACTACATTTCTGTGTCTTTCCCTCCTTGCCTGTCGCCCACCCTACCTACCCCGCCTGCCAGCCGCTCAGTAGTCTTCCTCAGCCAGGGAAAGGAGCACAGCTTTGGGTGTGTTCTCGAAGAGGGCAGCCCGGTTCTGCTGCTGTCCCTTCTTCACCCAGTGGCCATACATTCGGAAAGCATAGGCGTCGATGAGTCGGCGCAGAGGCCGGAGGGCGTAGGGGTCACGGATTACGATCTCCCGGGTCACAGGCTTCACCCGGCGGTACTGGTAATAGATCCGCACTGAAGCCAGTACTGTTAGAGCGATCACCTGTGGAGAGCCAGAAGTAAGAAGCTGGCCCCAGCCTCTGCCGGCCTGTCTCCTTCCCCCTCCGAAGCAGAGAGTCCCTGAGCTTGTTTGCCATGAAGCCTTGTGTTCCTACTGCTGGACGCTCCCTCATGTTCTCCCTACCATCCCAAACCCTGCGGCATCTGCAGAGATATAGGCTGTAGGAGCCAGGTGAGGGACATCTGCCTTCTCTGAATTCAGAAGTTGAACTGGAACCATCACGGGGATGGGTGGAGGGGAAGGGCAGGTGCTCTGGAAGCCCTGTGGGTGAAATGAATCCCTGGGGGAAGGAAGGGGATTTGGGGGCTTGGACTTGAGGAGTCCTGCCCCAGGGCCCTGGGTGGGAGGGGAGCTTCAGTACCTTGAACTTGCCCCGGGGGCTGAAGTGACGCACTTCTTCTACCACATACTGCTGGAAGAAGGGATGCGCTAAGGCCTCTTCTGCTGAACAGCGGCCCTGGGGGTTCACCACCAAGAAGCGGGAAACCTGAGAGAATAAGGAAGGGGAGCTGAAAACACCAAGGCAGGGTCCCCGCTAGCACTTGACAAGACAGAAGGTCTTCCCAGCAGGGTCCTCCATTCTGTAGCACGATATGCCCCCCACTCCCAGCAGGCCTGGCCTCTCACCAAGTCCTTCACAGTGTCTGAATAATCATCCCATTCAGGCGAGCCAAACTGGTAGTTGCCACTCATGATCATCCTCAGCATCAGCATCTGTTTCCGGTGCCAGAAGGGCGGGGAGCCCGCCAGCAGGGTATACATGATGACCCCTGTGCTCCACCTGGCACCAGGGAGACAGGGAGGAAGGCTGGAGGGCTGGCGGTAGCTCCTGCCATTTCCTCCCCTCCACAACCAGGTGCTCCCAGCCATGGGGACACCCCGTCACTGTGGGTCACTGTCTTCCCCAACATACTCACATGTCCACCTCCTTCCCATAGCCTGGGTGGTCATCGTTCATGGAGCATTCAATGATCTCAGGGGCCAGGTAACTGGGGGTCCCACAGACCTCTGCAGGAATAGTTACCATCGGGATAGGTCAGCAGGGGGCACTTGGAAGAGGAAGGTCCAGAGAAAACAATGGTGACGTGGTGATAAAAGTGACCGGGTGCTTGGGCTGGGATTCTTCTAACACTGACCATCTTCAGGACCAAGGGCAGGGACTGGGTACTGGCTCCTAGGACCACCTGCCTGGGCCTGTGGTTTCATGGCCTAGAACACCAGCAGTGGGAACCTGGCCCAGTCCTGGAATGAGGCTTACCCAAAGAGACACCTAACCTGAAACAGTAGCATTTTTATTCTGGGGTGGGGGAGGACGTGGGGGAGAAATGCAGGCATTTTCTGTTCCTGGAAGTGTGGATGAGAGAGCCTGAGCCTCTGACATGGGTCAAGGCCATGTTACCAGACCTCGAAGCTTCTCTCCTGGCTCCAGCTGGCAGGAAAAACCAAAGTCTGTGAGCTTGATGTTCATGTCGTCATCCAAAAGGATGTTCTCAGGCTTCAGATCCCGATGCACAATGTTGAGTTTGTGCAAGTTGCGGATAACCTCCAGCAGGGCTCTCATGATCTTCCTGGGGTGGGACAGGCACATGTTACTCTTCGCTCCTCCTCTGCAGGGCCAGGTCTCCCAGGAGGGAGACGAAAGCCCATGTACCTGCCAGACTGCCAGTGAGGGAGGACTCCAGACAGGCTGGCGGGAGGCTACAAAAGCCTGCAGCACACCCCCAGCCCAGACAAACGCATGCTGTGCCCCCTCCAAGACCTTGGTGGTGGGACCACTTGTGCTCTGGGACAGAGAGTGGTCATGGGGGCAGGTGGATCCTTACCTAGTTTCCTTCTCACTCAGAGTGACCTTCTCAGTGAGGTAATCAAAGAGCTCCCCTCTCTTCATCCTGTGGGGACAGAGTGTTTGTAGCTGGATTGGTTCCAAGTCCACCCCTCCTTATCCTGCTCCCAGGGACCTATTTCCTACCCTCATATCTCCAGAGACAAGGTGGGCCACAATAAAGGACCAAGGGCTGCAGGGAAAAGCTGAGGACGTTGAGTAGAGATGTTGTCTAGGAAGATTAAGAGAGCAGGGGAGGCTGAAGGGGTGGGATGGCAGCAGTGTCGGGGTCCCCCGATCTGTGGAAGTCACAGCCCAGACTGGGATCTGTCAGTGTCAAAATCAGGGCTGGGGGGTTGCCTGGGTGGCTCAGTGGGTTAAGCCTCTGCCTTTGGCTCAGGCCGTGATCTCGGGGTTCTAGGATCAAGCCCCACATCGGGCTCTCTGCTCGGCAGGGGGCCTGCTTCCTGCTCTCTCTCTCTCTCTCTCTCTCTCTCTCGTTCTCTCTGCCTACTTGTGATCTCTGTCAAATAAATAAATAAAATCTTTTAAAAAAATATCAGGGCTGGGAGGTGAAAGAGGGACCCCGAGCCACTGGTCCAAGGCCCCAGATCCAGAGCAGGGCAGGAGTATCCTGATCTTTCCCAGGAACGAATGGTAGAAGCCATAGTGCAAGTGCTGAGGGAGCAAAGTCTGCTTATTTTAGGATTAAGAATTATGGTTCAGTCTTCTCACTTCTTGGGATGACGTGGAAAGAGGTCGCTGCTAGAACAATCTAGTTACACTCTGGAGGGCAACTCAGGACGGCATTAAAAATAGCTTCCCCGAGCGACTTCTTCAAAGGTTAGGGATATTTGAGCTGCCCTCAAGGGCTCTAAAGGACCATGTTACTAAGCAGAGTTGGGACAGCTGTGCCGGTTAAGTCTTGGGGGTCCTGGGAAAGTCTCCCCTGGTTAAATAGGAAAGATGCGTCTGCCCCCTCCCAGTCACCCCTCCAGGGAAATCGGTTTGATTCCTAAGGCACAAGGGATTTTGGCCCATGGCACAGAGGCAAGAAAACCCTTGAGCTTAGCTGGTGGAGGTGGAAGGGGGCCTCTTTGAGGAGATAACCTAGAATTTACAGAGGTGAACCTTACTTGCACTATACCTGTACTGTGTTCCTAAAAGGCAATGTGTGAATCCAGTTTTTATCATTCTAATTCCATTTTAAAGACACTAGGAGAATTCACTGTTAGCAGCTGCAGAAAGATTTACCAGTAAAACTGGGTACTGTGCAGGGTGCAACGGGCTGTGGCTTCCTGGAGGTGGCAGTTGAACCGTACACACCAGCCAAGTTACACTGTGTCTCCGAGCACAATAACCCCGCTCGTACTACAGTATGGCTACAGTATGAAACATTCTAACAAGACAAAATCTACTTGAGTAATTTCCTCAGGTAAACCCAGTCCCTAAATTAGCCGTTATGTGTGGAGAAATAAGACGCCCCCACAGCAACGATGCACGCAGGGAGATTCACATTCTTCAGTGAGGACTCGGGAGTGGGGGCACAGGGAGCTGGAGACCTCCCTTCCCTGGGACACTTTTCTAATAATGATAGTAGGTCTGAATGCATTGTTCACAGAGCACTTTGTATTGTTGGAATCTAATGCTGAGAGCCTGGGAGATAGGCAGAGTGGTTGGTGTCATTTTTCCTTTCTTGAGAAAACAGAGGCTCTCAGAGCTAACACTGACAAGGAGCTCATCTTGTGAGCCCTAGTGGTGCAGAAGCAGGGAAATAGTGACACTGATGATGACAACGCTGATGTTCTTTGAGCCACACCCCAA